GGTGTTGTCGCTTGCAGATTTACTTATACTTTTTCTTCAACCCTGAAGATGGGGGCGATACGTTCCTCCGAAACGTCGGTTAACACCACATATACACGGTGCCAAATCCCAGAAGACTGCTTTCTTCAAATCCATGTTAGTCATCTCCTAGGATACCACATAATGTTCCCTGACCATGAAGAAGTTCCGCATTTGTCAGAACATTAGTGCTCCTTCTGTATCTGTAAAATTGTACTGAGCACACCACACTGTGTAGAAGCATGAGTGGGGGAATGTTCCAACAGATGCATATGTTTCAGGCAACTGAGCCTGATTCAAAGGCATGTAAGAATAATTTCCTCCTTCCTCATGTAAGTCAAGGACTGCCACACCAGAGCACATGGCTTCACTGACTCCAATTTGTTATCCTGCATGTTGATCCGCATAACTCCAAATCCAAATGTGTCATTAGAATGACACACCTGAAGGCAGGAACACAGGCATCTCCTGAAGTGTCAAGTTTATTCAGTATACTTCAGACAATGGGCAATGTCCAGCATGTCCGTATAATGTCATACATAAATCTTTGCAGAATCATTACTTATCCTCTCACAGATCCGCTATATAATGACAACTCTCTCTTATTACATGGATACAGACTGCATCAATGTTCAAGAATATTACAATCTTCAACATTTACGGATGTTGGCTACCCTATGTTGTAGTAGTCACTGCACTAGATCGTCAAGGAGTATGTGGCAGATTTTTGCTCCTCTAGATTTTCTCTGAAATACAAGGGTAAGTCAGTAAGTAAGATACAAATGGATACGGAAATTAACCAATGAGAGAACTGATATGAAAAATGCTTTTATTTCTCAACATAATCTCAGTATACATTGAGGCACTTGTCCCATCATTTCACAATCCCCTGAAAATCAGCAACATAACATTCTTTGGGCTGCTGTCGGAACGAGGCTGTGACTTCCCTTTCTACAGCTTCATCATCAGGAAAATGTTCAGCTGAAAGTTGATGTTTAAGAGGGCCAAACAAATGGATGTCGCTTGCAGCAACGTCGGGGCTATACAGAGGATGCTTGAGAACTTCCCACTTGAAATTTCACAGCATCTCATTTGTCTTGTTGGCAGTAGGGGAGTTGATAGAGCCGATCAGTACTTGGCCTATTATTCCCTTCCTCAAAAAACAGTAAAGTGGACAAAGAAAGTTGCCTTGTGGCTTATAAATTGTGCCATTTTCAATTCATTTTTGGTTTTCAAAAATCTAAACCCTAATTCATAATTGAAGTACAAGGCATTTCTGCTGAATGTGGCAAAAGCCTGAGCACAGACCACACGGTGACGACAGACACAGTCTTATTGCGACTGGGCCCATCTACTCCCACCCCATGCAGGCCTCATTTTACCCCCCTGGGTGACTCTCGGGTGATATGCAGAAACATACCCTCGCAAAAATTGTGAAGAGTGAACATTTCAAGGGGAAGCATCCTTCTAGGCAATGCCATGTTTGCGCAGTTCACAAGAAAAGGAGTACGACTGTATACATTTGCAAGTTTTGTGTAATGCCACTTCACAGAGTTGAATGTTTCGAGAAATTTCACACCCTCAAGCACTTCTAGGAGCATTACTAGGTGTTCTCAAAAATTTTTAGTTCATAAAATTAATTAGGAGATTTTATATTAATTTTTAAAGTGAACAGTGCACAAGTTACTGTAGTAAGTAAAAAAAAAATGCCGGTCCCCCGGGTGATTTAAATATTTAAATTGCCAGTCCGCAAAGTGTTAAGACAAATTCCGTTTAATAAAGGGTCCGTTTAAGGCAGGTTTTACTGTACTGAATTTCAAGTATATTAGATTTCCTTAGAGAAAACAGAAACAGTACACCACTAGTAACATTCAACAGACAGCAATCATCCTGAGACATTTCAGAAAATGCTCTTCAAAATCCAGTTATTGCAGTCAAGTTATTTCCTGTGTGCAGACAACAGATGAGATATGAAAGAAAAACAGGTATCCCTCATTCCACAAAGGCAATTCACCCTACAAAAACTGTTCAAAGTGTGAGTTCCAGAGAGGACCCTCACCATTTTTACTGCTATGTTTTAGTCGTAAATAAGCATTAAAATAAAAACAGTAGTACCTGTTTAGGATATTTATTGGGAAATAAAACATTTGGTTTTAAAAACAATTATTCTCACATGGCCGATGCAACAAAACAAAGCAGCTTCATTATCATGGCTGAACATGTCTTCATATTGTCACACTTTTATGGAGTGTATCTATAGATGGGTTTCAAATCGATGGCTGGATTGGACTCTTTGGTACAATACATGTCTACATTTTACAGTTCACTGTTACAGACATACTATTGTCCACAGTCAGTTCTTCAATAGCCATTGCTTGGTAGCAGCTTCCAAAAGCAGACATACCCTTTCCTCTGGGCTCCTGAACTCTCCTTGGACTCAGCTACCAGGTTCTACCAGAAATAGCAGACAATGTCTGAACTACAACAGACCTCTAAATCAGTGGTTCTCAACGGGGGCTGTGGGCCAAGCCACATTTCTGTGGGGCCCCAGACAAATTTTGGAAAAATGGAGGGCCATGGAAACTGATAAGTGGGCCACAAAATTTTCACTTCTAAAATAAAGTTATTAATAATATATGTAACGGCGCAAAGGTCAGGTACTTGTAGATATAGATTTTTTGGGTAAATTTGGAATAATAGTAGTTAGACTGTAAGATTAAGAAACAGCCATGATGAAACGAACCAGGAAGCTTGGGTTTACAAAGAAGTGTAACAGGCAATTCCTGAGTCATTAGAATGCTAGCACGGCAGCGTAATAACGCTGACATTGAGGAAGAAGCTATATGAAGTAGGTCATAAACACTATGGCAGGAGGAAAACGCTGAGTCGGAGGAGGCGGTAGACCCGAAAGAGTCAACCCCTTCTCAATAGGCAACCAATGAGGGGGCCACACTGACCCAAAATCACGTCAGAATGGGCAGGCCAATATACCCGGAACACAAAGCATCAGCAAAGAGAGGTTATATAAACCCTAGAAGACTTAATCACAAAACCTTTTGACTTTTGAATATTATTAAGTAACTTAGAGTTCAGCGGGAGGCTATCGCCGAGAGAGCGATAGCCGTGAGTGGGCGCTGGTTGGTGATGACGAGCATCTGTTTTCTCAGCTCAAGTAAGTGAAACCGACTTCATATAGCCATGAACATTAAGTGTGATAGTGATAACTGTAAAGTGTAACCCCCAGAGAAGGAGAAGGCTAACTAGAGGGAGACAGGAGGTAGAACTAATGATGGCTGCAGGTTCATTATCCAGTGTAATACAACCGACGAACATCGGTAAGAGTGTATACAGTATGTATATAGTGACATAGGGAAACAGAATAGGATAGGCATGTGTGTGAGTTTACTTCAACCTAGTATTTCCTAAAGTGTTACCCTCTTCCCTGACGACTCCAGGACCTCACAAAGCTTCAGCGAATTGCGAGTTAAGCCAGGACAGTGACGTAAGCAATGATAAGTTTACTAGTTTTCTTGATATAACAAGATGGTGGCAGCATACTAAACCGGGTGACAGAGCGCGATACTTCCACGCCCCCTGTCACCATGGCATAATAGTGGTGTAGCGGCGGCATAACAGTGGAGACAGCAGTGAGATAACCAATCCACCCGTCGTAAGGGCGTAACAGTGGTAGCAGTGGTGGTTACCTCCATTCCCCCCCCTTCAACGACATAACAATATAAAAGGAAATAAAAATGCCAAATGGTCAGTACATACAATAACACAATAACTCAATATCCTCATTTTTGTGTACCTTATTTAGAAGGGACAGAACCTATTGTACTTAAAACCACAACCTTAGATATGGGAATTCCAAGTACTGGTAAACAGGTATGAGCCTTCTCAGAGCGGGTAGAGCCCTAACAAATTATCCTTTATTTT